GCGCGGCGGGGCCCGAGGGCCGGGCCGACGCCTACCAGGTCGCGGCCAGCGCCGCCGAGGCCGAGTCGGGGGACTCCGACCCCGGCGGCTGCGGCTCCCACCTGCAGCATATCAGTGACCGCGAGTTCCCGGATGGTGAGCGCCGGGCGGGCGAGCCGGGAGGAAGGGGCCGCTCCTGCCGGGAGGGCCCCAGGGCAGCAGCGGGCTCCCTGTGGGCTCGGGGGGCGGGGGCTTGAGGCCTGTGTCGCAGGGGTCTGGCGGGTGACAGCCCGACTGCCTGAGCCCCGTGGTTTGAGGCAGGAGCCGCCACTCTGACCCGTCCTGGTTCTCCGCTGCTACCTGAGAATCACCTGCTCTCACGAGTGCATGCCAGGAGCTTGTGCTGTGCATGTCCCTGTGGGAAGCCGGGTTGTTGCTGTCTTCTCAGAACGGGCTCAAGATGAGACAAAGACATGTTTCAGACCAAGGAAACTTTTGGTAGAAGCTGGTGAATTGATGTGGTTGCATGGGGGGGGGGCACACGTCTCCTCACTGGCCCTGGATTTTGCTGCCCAATTAGCGGCCTCACACCTCTTTCCTTTTTCTTTCCCTTCACCAATACCTTGTGCAATTCCCAGCCAAGCACAGGAGGAGGTTAAAGAAACAGAAAGCAGTGAAAGTGACTAGACAGCTGCAATGAAGTCATGCGAAAGAGCTAGGTTTCCATTGGGAAAGGGTGGGTGACACCAGTAGGCACAGCGTTTCAGAAGACTGTGGTTTTAAGCTGTGATGGAGACCTGGCTGACTTTGGATGTTTGTGGAAGGGGGATGGGAGCTGCTGCATTCCTAATCTGTGCTTAACGGAAGGAAGGAAGGGGGTGGGGGTGAAGGAATTGGAAATTACAAAGGTTTGCAACATGATGACATCATGGGTGGACAAGGGCAATTAATAATCTGGCCCCACAGGAAGATGAGTTTTATAGCAGTAGATTTACTGCACTGATGGTCTCTTTTTCACACAACTCTTGGTATTCTGCGCTTCCTCATTTAATCAAGGATGTTGGATGTTGTCTGTTCAGACCGTTTGCAATTAAACGTGGTTATTCCCGCGATTAGTAAGAATTACTCTGTAATATGTCTTCTTCCTAACCATACATAGGAACCTGTGGCAGTTTCATGCTGTGATGGGAATTGTCTAGAGATTACTTGGTTGCTTACTGATACTTGTGTTTGTTTGAACATCAGTGTATACATTGCATGCCTCTGGCCGGGTGAAACATTGCAGGTGAGTTTGCATTCTTTAACCTTTGACTCAAAGCAGAAACTGGACTCTTCATAACTGTAACAACCACACCTATGCAAGACATGCATGGTTTGAGAGACAGCCGGTTTGCCATCTGGTGTGTAGGATGTATGCAATAACACTTAACGTTGATCTTCTGTTCTTGTTTCTGAACTTAGGGACATGTTTTTTTTGGCAGTTGGAATGAAATTGGTTGCAGAAGAGCACAAGGAAATTGTAGAAGTGAAGTTAAATTTCTGTGGTTCTGCACACAACCATATGGCACAGCTGTTGTTATAGAAATGAAATCAAATAGAACAGTCAGTTTCTTGGCTATCCTTTGAGACAGCTGCGTAATGCAGCAATGGGAGAAATTACACTTGCAGTTTAGAAAAGAGTATGATTGCAGGGAACCAGTACAGAGCCTGTGGAAACCCCTCTCAAATCCATTTTGGTAGGAGATAGTTGTTGAATTCTCTAAAGGTTCTGCTAATCTGAGCAGAAATGCTTAAGCCAGTGATTCTCATCTAGAGTGTCCTAGCACCCTAGAGTGCCACCAGTTCCTTCCAAGAGTTGTGCAGAGTTCCCTGCAAATGTTAAGCATGCAGACATATTTCATGAGACAGAGTGATTTCAAATAGGAATTCATAATGTTAAAAAACATTCTCATCTGTTGTGGCCATGAGTCTTTTGCAGCAGAAAAATTGTTCTATTATTTTTCTGGACTCAAAACTGAATGAAAACAAGAAATGACATTTTCTGATGGGTGTGTTGAGTCTGATAAGGGGTGCTTTGAGCCTAAAAAAACCTGAGAGCCACTGACCTAAGCCAAATAAACCTAGTCAGAAATAAGGGTTACTTTCTGTTTGAATCAGGTCAGTCTTGCTGCTGTTTTGAATGGCCGTAGTATTAGTTGCACGTTCATTCAAATATCAACATTGGCTTTGGAGCTGGGAAACATTTAATTTTATGTTTGCAGCTGTTACGATAGAGCAATACAATCCAGAGATAATGTAGTGGCTACAAATTGGTTTTGTGGCTGTTGAAACTTTGTTCTTGAGGCTGGACATAATTCTAGAATTTGAGATGCTTACCTCATACCATTTATAGAAGACATTAGTGGTGTAGTTATTTTTAAAGTTCTGTTTGTTTTACCCTTTTACATTCATGTGACCTTGGAGAGATTTTGCAACAATAAATGACTGTCCTGGCTACCTGCTGCTCCTGGGTTTGAGTATATTTGGTTTTTGTGTGCAGGGCTGCTGAACAAGAATTGAGTTTTTGGAATCTTGGAGTGATATACCTATGCAAATAGACTACTGTGGAATGATTATTTTATAAATGTATTTCAGGGTCTAAAATGTGACAACCCAAATAGTTGACTTTACAACATAACACACTGCAAGATTAAAAAAAAATCAAACTAAGAAGTTCTTATGAAGGTATAGCTTGGGAAGATGACATTTACGGTTTTACAGACAGTCTCCAAATACAATGAACTCTAAATGTGGCTGTTGGTAGCTTTGTTGTGCTGTCTCCAGGCCGCACAAGCATCTGATAGAACTCTACAAATTCTATACTCTTTACTGTTTACTGTTATCATTAGTGGTATTGATTAATCTAGTCCAGCAGATTTATGAAAGGGGTGATGTAATGGGGTGACTATTCTTCCTATTTCAATAACTGCAGGATTGGAATGTGTTATTGTTAGCCAGTTTCCTTTCCTCAAGTGATTAAAACAATAGCAGCAAAGGAAGTAGAGGTCATTAGGATTACTCTATTCCTTTCTCAATCTTAGCTATTTTTTGGGAAATTCTTCTACTGACTAGAGCAAGCATTTAGAATTTGGAAGTGATAATAGAGACTTCCTTCTAAATTTCTGGGTTGAATGCAGTGCTTTGGAGCATGGTTGGAAAACAAAGCAGATAATACACTGGCCTTTATTTAATTGAAATTTTGAGTGGAGCTTTAATGTATGTTAAAATTGGTAACAGGAATTTGAAAGCCTACAGCTGAGGTGTGAACCTCTTTTAACTTTTTTTGTGATGAGTAATTTGAGGTGCTCACTCAGGCTTGTATATTTAAATGAGGAATATTTTTCCCATTTTACCAACATGGAATCTTGATGGATCAATTGCAGATAGTTAAAGTTGATAAAAAGACAAACTAAGATATGATGAGGAAAAAACAGTACTATCGTACATAAATCCAAGCGACCTAGGATCCACTTCTTTGCTGAAGATGTCAGAGCTCTAATTTTTAAGTGGAGTTCATATTCAGTGATTATGGGCTTGCTCAACAAACTTAGTAGTTGGCCATTAATTTATCTGTTCATATTAAGGACTAAATCACAGCAAGTCACTTTATTAACTTGCATTATGCACTGTACTCATGATGATTACTATGTATTCCTGAACAGCAAGATGAATGCTGGTTAAATAGAATGTGTATATGCCCAGAACAAAAATAATCTGTGTACCTTTCACAGAATGAGGGTTTACAAGACTGATCTGAAATCACCTTAGGCTTATCTTCCAAGGGACAGCCTGGTACACTTGCTCCGGGAGCTCAGTAACATTACTTTTATTACATGTGTCCAGTCCAGTCCAGAATTGAACAGGAAATAGCAATGTGAAAGTCATTAGTGGGATGTGGGCACAATAGAGGGGAGCAACAGGCTACAGTTGGACCTAGATAGGTTACAAGGATGGGCAGAGGAGAACAGGATGGGGTTTAACACAGACAAGTGTAAGGTGATGCACCTGGGGAGGAACAATAGGCACCACACATACAGGCTGGGGAACTCCTCTCTTGTCAGCATGGAGGTGGAAAAGGATCTGGGAGTCATTATTGACTCCAAGATGAACATGAGTCGGCAATGTGGGGAGGCGGCTAGGAAGGCCAACTGCACCTTGTCGTGCATCCACAGATGCATCTCGAGCAGGTCCAAGGAGGTGATCCTCCCCCTCTATGCGGCACTGGTCAGGCCGCAGCTGGAGTACTGCGTCCAGTTCTGGGCGCCGCACTTTAAGAGGGATGTGGACAGCATCGAGAGGGTCCAGAGGAGGGCCACTCGTATGATCAAGGGACAGCAGGGTAGGTCCTATGAGGAAAGGTTGCGGGACCTGAACCTGTTCAGCCTTCAAAAGAGAAGGCTGAGGGGGGATCTTGTGGCCTGTTATAAACTGGTTAGGGGGGATCAGCAGGCGCTGGGGGAGTCCCTGTTCCCCCGAGCGCCGCAAGGAGTGACCAGGAACAATGGTCACAAGCTGGCGGAGGGAAGGTTTAAGTTGGACATCAGGAGGCGCTACTTCACGGTCAGGGCGGCTAGGGTCTGGAACCAGCTTCCAAGTGAGGTGGTGCAGGCTCCCACCCTGGGGGTTTTTAAGAGGAGGTTGGATGACCACCTTACTGGGGTCATTTGACCCCAGTGCTCTTCCTGCCATGGCAGGGGGTCGGACTAGATGATCTGCTCAGGTCCCTTCGGACCCTAGAAACTATGAAACTATGAAACATAGCATCACTAAGTAAACTTATAAACAAATTTATTTTTGCTAAAGCTTGACTTACTCATTTGCTTTACATGATATATTGAACTAATAGAAGATTATGAACAAGGAAAACTTGAGTTTGCCTTTCCTACACACCATCCAAGTACATGAAGCTTGGTCATATTAAATGTTTCAGGCTAAGGTTAATTACATTATAGTTGCCAACTGATGGCTTAATTGAGCAGCAAGTGTTCACCCTGATTGTATGCAAGCAGCATCGAAGAAAATTGTGCGTCTGTTTTTAATTACCCATCAAGGCTCTTCCTAGTTTTAGTAATAGCAGATGGCTGCCAGCTTTTAGCTCTTTACATGCTATTTAAGGT